GGGGGGGGGTGGAGGGGGGGAAGCAACGCAGGCAGTTGAGCCGGGCTGCTGTTCGGGTGGTGGCGGCTGGCGGCTGGCTGGTCTTGATCTGGTAACGGAGCGCCGCATCCGTGTGCTGGGTTGGAATGCGGTTTGTGGAAGCACCGGATTCTTCTGGGGTATATTTATAAATTTCAGGGTAGGGATCCTTTTCAATCCCCCTTCCGCTCCCTCTCGGACCCGCTCCGAAACACCGCGTCGCTTTTCAGTCCCCGTGCCTGAACGCGTATTGACATGTAGTGTAGTGCTGCGTCTGCCGTCCCTTTCGCACAGCTAGACACTACCTGCATATACTCCGAAACCCTCCCTGCGCCGTACAGCTGCTGCTCCCGCCGCTGTCGCTCCTGTCGTTCGTACGGCGGCGGTGGCGGCGGAGCCTCCCCGACGGTTCCGCCAGTCATGGGGTCCCCGGTTTCCTGCGTTGCCGCCGTCCCCGCCGACGTGATGGACCCTTTGGCAGCACTGCCGCCGCCGCCGCCGCCAATCCCACGAGTTGCCAGTCGCAGGGGTACCAGCCGCAGCCTCAGGTGCCGTACCTCCCGCAGCAACGGCGCCATACGAGCCTCAGGCAGCGTCGGCAGCTTCTCCGTTAGCAGAAGGCCACGCAGCGTACGGGATGGTGCGGTGACGGCGCCGCCGCCGGCCCCGCCGCCGCCGCTGCTGCCTGACGGGAATTGCGATGGCGTTGGAAGGCGCATGCTGGCGCCGCTGGCGTCGCCGGATCCTGCGGTGATGGCCGCCGCCGCCGCCGCTGCCGCCGCCACCACTGCCGAGTCGTGCCGTATAGATCCTGAGCCGCTCCCACCCTGGGGCGACGTGCCGGCAGTTGGCGAGGACGTGTCTAGCGGGGTGATGGCCGATACGAATCCACGAGTGAGGGATTTGGATCTGGATTTTGCCATGGTGCTGCGGACCCGCGCTAGGATGCCGCTAAGCTGTCCGGCACCGCTGCTGGGGCCGCTGGCCAGCGTCAGTGGCGGCGGCGGCGGCTCCGCCACCGCCGCCGCTGCCGTCGCTGCGGAGCTGGTTGTGGCGGTGGGCGGCTCCCAGTTTGGCGGTGAGGCAGCGGCGGAGGCGCCCGAGGGGCAGCCGCTGCCTCGGCCATCGTTGTTGCCGCTGTTGACCCGGATCTCACCGATGCTGATCCTGAGCTGCGTCGAGTGGTGCGACATCTGCAGCGTCCCGACGCTGTTGCTGCTGTGGGGGAAGTCCGACTGCAGGGCGAATGGCGACACGCCGGCGTGGGCCCAGTACTGCACCGAGCCGGCGCCATACGGGCCCGAAACAAGTGAACCAGAGGCGGCGGCGGCGGCGATGGCGGCCGCCACGCCACCGGCGCCGCCGCTGCCTTGCGGGTGATGTGGCGGTGCGCCGCCGCGCCGTCCGCGGGTAGTCCGAGGCCAGGACGGCGAGGGGTGCATCAGCGCGGCGGAGGTGGCGCCGCTGGGGCCATCGCCGCCAGCGCTGCTGACTGCAGCACCCGAATTTTGACGCGCAGGCCCTGCCATCCCCCCGACGGCGTTTGCAGTGGCGGTGGCGGCCGCCGCCGC